TCTATTCTTAACTGTTTTAAATTCATTTTAAACCTCTTAAATCGAATTTTAAATCATTTTCAAAGTTTTAAATTCCTTATTTTATTGTTGTGATTAAATTTTTTTTTATTATTATAATTTTTTCATTTCTTTTATGTAAAGCACTTTGAATTACCATTGTGTATGAAATGTGCTATATAAATAAACGTGCCTTGCCTAGGAAACTTACGTACGTTAATTCAGATGGCTTGTGACTTTAGCATTTTATATGTTCTTAATTATATACATAGTTAAAGACGTTTACTAAATGTTTATGTAATATCTGACAGAAACATCTTCGACAAGTATTGCAGAAGAGAACATCACAACATGAAATAGACATCAGTGATGTGTGTGTGCTATTAGCTATGCAGTAGAATTCACTGTTGTCAAAACTGCTAATGTAAATAATTATGTAATGTAAATAAAACCATACTATTTTAATGGTTTCAAGAAATTAAAGTTATCAATAAGCTATCAAATGTATTTGTCTATTAGTACTGTTGACAAATTGAGTAGCAAATGTTATTGGATAAAACACATCAGCAGCTGCCTCAACATTTATATGTACACTCTTAAATAAATGGTGCTAAAGAGCACTAAAAGTGGTTCGCTGGGTTGTAATCATAGGGGAACCATTTTAGTGCTATATAGCACCTGAACCAACCCAAAGAACCACTGAAGAACTTTTTTCCTGTGTGTAGTGCTGAAAACATAAATCACAGAAGTAACTTGTAACAATCTTGTTTGAATGTTACAGGGACAGATGAGCACACACATGTGCTTATCCGGTGGAGAGTGGCTAATGAGGCCCTCTTCACCAGAAAACGAAATCCAGCCATCAAAGGCTGTATACTGCAGAAACCAATAAAAACTCATGTTATATGCTGTTAACTAATGTTATTTCAAACAGATATTACAGCACTTTTCTGATTCTTGATTTGTGTGCAGAGCTTTTGTGATGGAGCAGGGCCTGCAAGACAGGGTGACGGCGGCCTTTGTAAAAAAAAAATGGGAAAACCTCAAACAAAAATATAAAGTAAGATCATGTTGTTATTTCTAATACAGAATTCAGTTGACATTGTGCTGTTAAAATGACTGCTTTTGTTTTGTTTGTGCATTTTTGTAGGATCTCAAATGTCCAGCAACCGGTGTGAGCACTGAGGATGGAGAGCCCACAGCAGCATCTTGGAAGTGGTACAGGGCCATGGATGAGGCAATTGGGTGCAGACCCTCCATCGCTCCACCTGCCCTTATTGCCTCATCTGGCCCGGATGTTGCTGTGGCCTCTACATCCTCAGTGAGCCCAGCCCCAGACACAGCAAGGGCATCAAGGAAAAGAACCCAGAAATCAGTTGAGAATCTGATCAAGGAGATGGAGGAGAGGGAAATGACAAGAGAGCAGGAAGCAGTCGAAAGGGAGGAGAAAAGATGGAGAGAAATGGAGGTGAAGGAGGAGAGACGAGAACGAGACAGACAAGAGCGGGAGGAGAGACGACATGCTGAGGACAGAGAAAGAGAAGAAAGGTGGCACCAGGAAGCAAGTCAAAGGGAGGAAAGATTACTTCGCCTCCTTGAATCTATTGCAAAAAAAATAAGTCCATAAATAAATAATGTATATGTATATTTAAGCGTGGATTTTTGTGACAAACAAACATATGTTTGAAATGAGAATTTAATTTCACACACGTGCACAATCCCATGCACAGAGGATATGGGCATATCAAAGGTCTGTGACACGACCCTGTAGGATGCTGCATGTGCAAGCCAGTGGAGGAATACGAGGACTTCAATGTCCTTTTCCCACCCATGGTCAGATTCCAATCTGACTGCTGCAATGAGGGACCTGATGGATGGCAAAGACAGGCGAAGGTGGTCAGCTGCTTGGTCCAAATAAAACCGCAGAATCGGCACAGCTGTGTTGACATGGCAGTAGGATGCGGGGTTCACTGCCTGTAAATATGTGCGTTTAGAAGAGTTAGAAGAATAGAAGAGTTTATTAGAACATTAAATTCAAATAAAGATTTGTTTCATGTGTTGTTGACTTGTATATGTATACAGTTAATGTGATGGTTAAATTAATTAGGAAACAATAAAAATGAGTTCATAAAAAATGTTTCATTACTTCATGCATTAATTAATTGCTTGACTGAAAATTGATGTTCACATCGGCTCCATTTGTCTTATGTGTTTTCATGCATGTCATATGAAAACAATTAATTAGGCTTTTTTAATGAAATTATACAATTTTCAGTAATATGTAGTAAAATTAAGCATGGGTCTGCATCTGTTATTATCATTGTGCGAAAGTGTTTGGGTGAGCTAGCAATGCAATTCATTCTGGGGTAATCTTAATTTATAAGTGGTGACACTTACATTTTTGAAGTATAACATCAACAGTGTTCTCCTAAGGCGAGATCTGCGAGCAGCTGCCCAACATATCCTCTGTAATACCATTCCAAACGCTAAGGAAAACCGCACTAGGCAGGGTAAGCAATTTACTGTTGTGATCAGGTGGTAGTGCACACCTGTCACCTCAAGTAATTATTGAAC